TGTTTCAGACAGTTGTTTACAAAGTCTGCAGGAATTTTCCTTAAGTAGTTTATCGTTCCTTTCTTCATATCCTTCCTTTGAAACAAGAAGGGCTAACGTTCCCATAGATTAAGGTTACAATTTCTACAAAGCTCCACAGGATTAAACTACTAGTTCATTGCGACTTACTGACTTGTACAGCTTGCCATATAAAATGGCAACATTACCTAATGAGCATGGTAAACTAAAAGATAAGATTACTATGTTTATGACATTAATCGTACTGTCAAAATACTTTGAATAAGTCTTTTTTTCGAAGATATAAAATGTATTGTAATATGCAGAAATAAGTATGTTGCTCTATTTACCAGTACACTGAAAAGATGTTCACTTTTTCCCTATTGCTTTGCAAGAAAAGGACCAAATGACCTAATGACAGAATGAAAGTACACTAAACAACTAATGAAAGAGAAGAATTTCCCTTTTTTTTGCTTTCATAAGTGATGCAGCAGTTAAGTGTAAGAAGTGTGGCAGTGTAACATAACCAAATAAAAGATTAATCAAAAGCCACAGTATCGTAACACTAATATTTCACCAACGGTGGTGTGCCATACTGGTTGTTTCAGTATAGTCTAATGCACAGGACTAAATTTCATTCTACACTATAACTGGAAAAAAATAGCCCCTTAGTACATTTTAGGGGAATATAGTCCTCCCACACCCAACAAATTGCAGTCTAGTCCAATCCATGTGCTTTCTATTATAAAGACACTAAAACCGTTCCTAAGAGAGTGGGCTGTGCAGTACTATTATTTGCCACAGTGACTTTTCAGGCTGCACACACACTCATCAGAGTCAACATTAGGATGTGTCAAAGAGGATCGAAAACTTTCCCAAATACAAATGCAAAGAACATGAACAACCTCAAGTATCACCTTAGATGGGCGAGAACATAAACTAGGGACAAATAGCAGACTAGGTGAAACTCGTATATAGAAATAACTGCCATCCATATACTGTATATTCATTTATTTTCTCATAGTTTGCTGCTTACATAAACCATAGGCTACCTGACAATATCTGAGAGGATTTTAAGCCATGTTCATTGATGTTCATAATCTTCACTGCTAATGTCAGCTCATTCATATGATACATGTACAGTATATTTGGGCTGTTATCTGGTACAATTGGTCAAGATACTGCATGGCATGGGTGCATGGACTTGGGACAAATCTGAACCCTATAATTGTTGTCATACCTACAAAATTAGCAAATGGAATTTCTCTTTTGAATCATTTTTTTGCATTGAGATATATGGCCCATATACTTTTTGGCCACTCTACTCACTCTACTCTGTAGTTGGGTGTGCGGATCATGTGGCATTCAATAACTCAGCCTATTTCATGCTAATTTACTTCTTTTAGAAAAAAATTGTCTTCGGTCATGGCGCCACAAACTATTTATGTATTTATTAATACTATCATTTCTGTTAAGAATGCAGACAAAAAGAAGCAGGGGTAGTGAGTAGTTGGAAAATACACATGAAGTAAAACAGTTTTGGAAGGAATATGTGGCTTTTTTTATTCCTAGTAAATGTCATTAAGAGGAGAGTTTAAAAACAAGTTTGTAAACCTGTCGAGCTAGCTTTTGTTGGCAGACTAGCATCAGCCACCTCTGAAGACTTCACCTCGTAGACTGGAGTGTGTGAAAGCACTATAAGCAAAGTTTCTTAATTCAATTCAATTCAATTTTATTTTATTTGTATAGCGCTTTTAACAATGAACATTGTCTCAAAGCAGCTTTATAGAACATAAGAAACAGAAAAACATGCAAACAGAAACAAAACATGCAACAGTCCTAGATGTCCAAAATTATCCCTAGTGAGCAAGCCTGAGGCGACTGAGGCGACTGTGGCAAGGAAAAACTCCCTTAGATGATATGAGGAAGAAACCTTGAGAGGAACCAGACTCAACATATTTTTTCCTCAGTTAGCAGGTTTTCAGTACAATTATTCTATTTGGGCTGAATCACAGTAATTAGGTATATATATATATATATATATATATAATTATTATAATACTGGTTGTATTTATTGTTTTGTTTTTTTTCCCCGGGGTCCAAAAGTTCATGTGAAGGAGGCAGACAAAGACCACGATGAAGACAACAGGGTGGCAGTGGAAGAAGAAGGGGCCGAGGGGCAATTCAGAAAGAAAACGGAGAATGTGCATAAGAAATTTGGAACATCCAAGCTATAAATATAAAGTCAAGGCATAAGAAATCCTGTAAAATGCTCTAAGTGACCCTTGCCATTCATTTACATTATATTTGTAATTCATATTAAAATGAAACAAAGCACTCAGGTTAATCAGCCTTGATACTTTGCTTTTTCACCTGTGACAAGTCCTTCGTAAATGCTTTCTCTTTGCAGATAAATGGAAGCAAAACCCAAAGACCTTCAACTTAATGGCTTTGATTACAACTCTGATGGATTCTGTATTCGCTCTAAAGGATGAAGGAACCGTCATGTTGATTGAACATATGAAAAGGATCACTGTCTTGGACAGGCTCATTGTCCTCTCTCAGCCTTCCTAAGGGCTGCATGTTTAAATGTACAGACTCACGCAAAGATTAATTGCCTGGTGGCCAAAAGATGCATCCAGTCTGCTCTCTACAGCTTCATTAAAGCCAGAGAGTAGAATGAAGATTGATTACATTTTACCCCATTCCATAAAAATTGAGCCAAGTCTCCCTTTCCATGGGTTTCATCACTCTTCTTTACCATTCTGCTACTCAAGGGGGGAAATTCTCAGTACTTGTTTGGATACTTTTCATGAATAAATCATACTGTTCAAATTGAAATTGGATTCAGTCCCATATGCAAAGGAAATATATTTGCATACATTTTCAAAATGTGTTGATAGAATTTGAAATATATTTACATATATTTTTATTTACAGATATGTATATATTACAAAAAAATGACAAACACATCTTAAACTATAAGCAATTTATGACCAATTTCCACCATCACCTCTCACTCTCTGCCCTTTCCTTACCACTTACTCACAGTCTATGGCATGCCCTAGCATAGCTAAGATGTGTTCAAACACTGATTATTCTGGGCTCAATCTCATTACAAACATTTCCACAGCATGAAACCCTGGCAGACCTGCCGCTTAATCGCTGACAAATGCTTTTATTAAGACTCCACTTGGCCCTGCAGTTGTGCCCCTTCAGAAATCCTACATCCAACGCAAAATGGTTTATCCGAAACAGGCTGCAGGGTGAAAACAGACGGACTGATGGTTATTACTGTCCTC